TTTTTGTTTTTACTCTCACATATTCCCTGATACAATTATATTCAGATAATAGAATCTTTTTTGTTGTTGTTGAGGTAACATTGATTAAACATTATATATATTTCAGGTGTCCATCATTATGTTTCAACTTCTGTATAGACTACACCACCAAAAGTCTCGTTGCCGTCCATCACTATATAAATGTGCCCCTTTACTCCTTTTTCCCTCTCGCCATCTCCCTCCTCTTCTGGTAACCACCAATTTGTTCTCTGTATCTATGTTTGTTTGTTTGTTTGCTTGCTTATCTTCCACATACGAGTGAAATCATATGGTATTTGTCTTTGAGTTATTTCTCTTAGTTTAATACTCTCAAGGTCTATCCATGTTGTTGCAAATAGCAAGATTTCATCTTTTTTTATAGCTGAGTAGTATTCCATTGTGTATGTATATGACCTCTTTATCCATTCATCCATTGATGGGCACTTAGGTTGTTTCCAAGTCTTGGCTATTGTGAATAACAGCAGTGCAAATATCTTTACACATTCATGCTTTTGTGTTCTTTGAATAAATACCCAGAAGTAGAATAGCTGGATCATATGGTAGTTCTATTCCTAATTTTTGGAGAAATCTCCATACTTTTTTACATAGTGGCTGCACCAATTTAGATTCCCACCATCAGTGTATGAGGGTTTCCTTTTCTCACATCATATCCAACACTTGACTTTGTAATAAAAGCTTTGACACTGATCTTAGTGGTATCTTTTTGAATATGTCTCCTCAGGGAAGGGAAACAGAAGAAAAAATAAACTAATGGGACTACATTAACCTAAAAAGCTTCTGCATCATAAAGGAAACCATCAAAAAATGGAAAGACGATCTACCAAGTGGGAGAAGATATTTGCAAGTCATGTATTTAATAAGGGGTTAACATCCAAAATATATAAAGAACTTATACAACTCAACAAGAACAACAAAACAACCCAATAGTAGAATCTTAAATATTTTATAGTAGTAGCTTTAAATTTCTCCTTAGAGTAACCAAATTCATCTCCTTTTAGAAACTGAAGCTCAAAGAAGGGAAATGACTTAGCTGAGGACTCAAATAACTCTAAAAAAATCATGTGTGTAGGTAGAAAGACTATATGTTCTGAATGCAAAGATTACTTATTTTTTTGACTTTCTAATGTTTATTTCTTTTTTTAAAGAAAGATTACTTATTATTATTATTACTATTTTTATTGGTCAGTGACAAAGCTAGGATGAGCAACAAGATTCTTTTGACAGTTCAGTGCTCTATCCACTATTCTACATGTCTGCTCTTCTCATACGCTTGGACAAGATTCCTGGGGCATAGAGGGTTGGATAAGGTTAACCGCTACCCTTATTAAGCTTAAATGCCGTGATCTCCATTCCTAAACAAACTATAGACTTAGGTGACTAATTAGCTGTGACTTGATTCTCTCTTTCTCAGACAGCATCCATCCTCCCCAAGCAGCAAGACTCTCATCCTCTACAACAGTTGGAGAGCGGGGGTTTTTTTTGTTCTTCTTTTACAGATTAATCATGGTCAGAAAAGCACTCTGCCATTGTGGCTTGGGGATATAAAGCTCCGACTGGACTCTTCTGTCACAAATTGGAGCTGAAGGATGGCCTCACTCTGTTGATATGTGAAGTAATTTAACTAGGAAAAGTCACTATTCACCCCATCCCCACCCTGATGCCACACAGACACTCTGCCTCTTTCCTTCTGGGTGCACACACAGAGTATGGAAGTTCCTAGGTTGGGGAAGATCTGTCACTGCTAATGTGAAAGACTCCAGGGTCACCTTAAGAAGAAGCTGGCTGCCTCTTAAAGAAAATAAGCTCTGCAACAAGAGTAACTCCCCCACTCCAGCCCTAGAACAACCTCCTGGGACATTCAACTCAGCCCGAGCCTTCCAATCCAGTTACCTAGAAACCCACAGTCCCCAAGACTCTGCAGCAGTCCCTTATTTTCACATCCTTCTTACAAAGGACCCTGATTTAGATTGATATATGCAAAACCCTGAGTGGAGTTGACCTAGCCCCATATTTTCCTTCTGGAAGCCGCCTCCCTTCCATTGTGCTTTTAAAACTACGATTGCTTTAGGGGAATCTATAGGTTCCACAGAGAAGAATGAGAAAAAAGAAAGGAAGAAGCTATGAAAAGCAGGAACAGGTTAGGGGAATTGACTGGGGCCCACTCCCAGGCAGGATTGCCCCTGGTTATACCCTGAACCAAAAATATCTTCTCCCACACTCACTGCTCTATTGTTGTCGTTTTCACTTCATTTTGTCACACAGTCAGAAAGTCTACCCATTGAAAAGTCTAATGGTTTAACAAAGAATTCTCTTGCAGTTACTCCTGGGAAGGTTCAGGAACTATTCCTCACTCACATTTCTGAATGCATTAAATCACATTGCCTTCCTCCAAAGCCCACTCTTCACTGTGCTCTGTCACCCTAAAGGCAAAAATGTCAGGACACTGTGAGTGAAATTCTAAAATTCAGGAGAGGGGTAGACGGAATTTTGGAATATAGAACCTTTAAGTCTGGACAAAAGATCTATTTGTTTTTTCCCATCCCACATCCTCATCCTGTGGAGAGTAACATAAAGATACTAGAACCCTGAGGAATGAAGCAGGGAATCATGGGAGAGGACTTCAAAAAGGGAGACTATCAAAAGGCAGCTTCTCACATTGCAAAATTTGCCTAAGGCCAGCCCTCCCACCAGAACAGGGAGGAGTATCTCCTTGTCTACTTCTTAAGTGTGCACTTACTCCCACCCAAGTCCAGATGAGCAACACTAATGTTAAAATATGATGGAGACCAATCAGGCTTGCAGGGTCTAGCCTGAGAGCCTTAAAAAGTGTTTCAAATACTGTTCTTAAAAGAAAATCATTTCTAAGTTTTAAGCATCTACCTAAAAACTGCAGTAAACTTTCAGAATACAGTTCATGTGTTATTTGAGGCTGCCTCTCTGGGCTCTTTTTCCTTCCCCCATTTCATTTTTAGCCTCTCAACTTATGTAATCTCCAGCACTACTCCACACTGTGCAATGGAGTGAGCTAAAACACAGTGACTTGATGTATACCTCTCTACTCTAAGCTTTACACTCATCTGATGTTTATTTTGGAATTACTGTTGAGATGTCACTTCTCTCCAAATTTTTTTATCTGAAAAAAATGCTTTTGTTATATTTTTGCTATTGACATGGAAAGATATATTAAGACGATATTTTCTAACTTTCTTAATACCTTTGCGATGGGGTCTTTTAAAATCTATTTGAATAAACATCAGTAAAGCATTCTCATGGTAGGGCTTTATTTTCTGCTATGACCTAGAATTAGTTTGATGGGGGGGAAATGGTGAATTAGGGACTTAATAAGGCCTTGGTTCTAGCCCTAGCTCTACCAAGGAACTGCGCCATTCTCAGAAGGTTGTCTAACCTCTCTGGACCTCAGTTTCTTCATCTATAAAAATCAGTATAACGGGGCTGGCCCCATGGCCAAGTGATTAAGTTCACGCGCTCTGCTGCAGGCGGCCCAGTGTTTCATTGGTTCAAATCCTGGGCACAGACATGGCACTGCTCATCAAACCACACTGAGTCAGCGTCCCACATGCCACAAGTAGAAGGACCCACAACAAAGAATACACAACTATGTACCGGGGGCTTTGGGGAGAAAAAGGAAAAAAAAATAAAATCTTTAAAAAAATCAGTATAACAATCTCTATCTTATCTGCTTTCCAGGTTAGTCGGAATAGCTAAATGAGATAATTTCCTATAAAGTATGAATTATAAATATAAGGCATGATTATTATAGATTGTCCTCAACTTCTGAACTGGCTGCATTTCAAAACTTTGTTGTTATGTTTTGGAGATAAAAATTCATCACTAATATGGAAGGAGACAAAAATCTCTGCCCTGCCTGTCCCCACAGGGATGTTATAATGATCAAATGAGATAACAGGTATGAAAGTACTTAGTAAACTCTAAAGTTCTATGGCAAAGATGAGGGCTTTTGTTTTGTTTTTTGTTTTTATCCCTAGAGTCAGAGGAAAAACCTAGTGTGTAAGCTGGTTGTTTAGACACTGGGGAGCACTGTCCCATAGAAATCAGGCTCTTAGGGGTAATTTGGGTCCTAAGCCAGGCCATCAATGCACTGCCTTCTCAATCTACATATTCTCTCTAAGTGATCTTATAAGACATACAGCTTCATCCACCACCTATTATGCTGATGATTACCAAATATTTATTTCCAGCTCCTATCCCTCCCTTGAGCTTCAAATCCATTTTTCTAACTACATACTGGGGCTCTCCAACTGGATATCATACAGGCAATTAAACCTTAACATGTCCAAAACTGAACTCTTTTTCACCCTGCTTCAACTCTCTCTCCATTCCAACTCACTCCCCATGACACCAAAAAAGTGCTCCTTCTGTATTTCTCAGTGCAGTGAATTGCAACCTGAATTCCTTTCTCTCCCTCACCTTTCATGTCTAAGAAGTTACCACCAAATCCTGTGGCTTCTACCTCTCTAACATGTGTCATCTCCACCTCCCCTCTCTTGTCCAATAGGTTCATCTAGTACAGTTCTCAACATTTCATCCTGCTGCCAGAATGATCTGAACATGTCACCCCCCTGTCCAGGTGCCTTCAATGATTCCCCATTGGTAAAAGTATAAAATTTCTTCTCCTTAAAATGGCATGCCAGGTATTTCATGAGCTGACTCCTGCCCACCTCCACAGCCTCGTGCTCCTTCAGTTTTCTGAATATATCACGTTATTGTATACATCCATTTCATACATTTATGCCTTGCATATGCTGTTTCCTCTGTCTGTACTGCCCTTTCCCATTGATTTGCCAGGCAAATCCCAGCTCATCCTTCCAAACTCAGTTTTAACATTATCCCCTCTATAAAAGTTTCTAGACTCTCTTGACACTCAAAGCAGACTTGATTGATCACTTTTTAGTGCTAACATAGAACATGGAAGGTCTCACCATCACGAGTCTCTGATTTACTTGACAGAAAGGACTTTCATCATTGCCATTTATCCTCAGGGCCAATCACAGTACCTGGGATGGAGTATATGCCTAGTAAATATTTATTGCATTAATTTTCAATTAAAAACTACTAATACACAATGTTATTTCAATGCAAGAATACCTATCAAATTCCAACTTTAAAAGTCAAAAGCATAAATCATCCCAACCTTGCCATGGGAGTGGAGATTTCCAAGACCACTTTTCCAATAATAAGAATGAGTAGCGTTCTTGTACAATATGTGCAGGATCTCCATTAAATGGGCCAAAACAGCAAATATACAAAGGTGCACATCCATGTGAGCTGTCTCCATCTAAAATGTAAAAGTCATTTGTCAAGATCAGTCATTCCTCGAATTCTAAACTGGAAAATAAAAATAGGCAGTTTGGGGAGCATCCAGGTCTGGACCATAGAATCAAAAATGTTGCCGCAATCACTATTGGCTATAAGTTGAGATTGGCTAGGTAGCAGTATTCTTTGATTATGACTGAAATTATATATTGGGCTCAGGTGAGAGTTCATTCACTCATTCCAACAATAAATACTTATTAAGTGCCTTTTATGTCCAAGTTCCTTATGCTATATTCTAGTTGCTGATGATTCAGTAGTTAGGAAGACTGTAAAGAAATATGCCCTCATGGAACTTATATTTTAGAGAACAAGGAGTAAAGAGTGGAAAAATATATAAAAGCTCCCAAATTGTATCCTGATGGCCAGAGACACCATGCAACGGCATAAAGTAACCCTCTTCTCTTTGAACGGGTAGTGGTAGACCAAAGAAAGCCAAAAGGTAGTATTGTATTGTGGTCAAGCACCTGGGCTTTGGCATTTATCTGTATTCATGGCCCTCCTCTAACATCTATTAGCTGTGTAACTTTTGTGGGTAGTCACAAAACTTCTCTAAAACTTAAATTTATCTTTAATAAAATGTAGGAAATGGTACTTAACAGACAGGGTTGTTGTGAGGATTCAATAAAATAATCCAGACCTTTAAAACGGAGGAAGTCTTATATAGGTTTCTAAGATTTTGATAATTCATCAAATGAACCAACTACCATCTATTATCACCATCATTTTATAAAAATGAAAAATATTGAGAGCAGAAATATATGGACATAAACTCAGATTTTAAATATTAAATATATTTTCTTTTTTATTTCTTTCCATTGACCTGTCTTCAAGTTTACAGATAGTTTCTTCAGCTGTGTCCAATGTGATGATAAGGCTATTGAAGGAATGAGTCTCTAATATCATAGGCTTTGTTTTTAACATTTCAATTGACCTTTTTTTATAGTTTTCCTCTCTCTGATAAAATTTTCAATCTGTTAATACATGCTGTCCACCTTTTCCACTAGATGCCTTATTCATAGTTATTTTTCTCATACAATTCTATAATTGAAATATAATTCACATTCCGTAAAATTCACTCTTTTAAGGTGTACAACTCACTGGTTTCTAATATAGTCACAAAGACGTTCAATTATTATCATTATCTAATTCCAAGACATTTTCATCATCCTGAAAAGAACCTTTATAACACTTAGTAGTCACTCCCCAGCCCACCTTACCCTCAGTGCCTGGACAACCTCTATCTCACTCATTATACAAAATTACTTTCATTACTTTGTATATTATATTAAAATACACTTTGTGTCTATGAATTAGACTACTCTGGATATTTCATATAAATGGAATCATGCATTATGTGGCCTTTTGTGTCTGGCTTCTTTCACTTAGCATAAATTAGGTGTCACATGTATCAGTACTTAATTCCTTTTTATGGCCAAACAAGATTCTATTATATGCACATACCACATTTTATTTATCAATTCATCAGTTGATAGTCATTTGGGTTGTTTCCAATTCTGGCTATCATGAATAATGCTGCTATAAACATGTGTGTTAAAGGTTTTGTGTGGACTCATATGTTGAATTCCTTGGGTATACACCTAGGAGTGGAATTGCTAAGTCATATGATGAATCAATGTTTAACTTTTTGAGGAACTGCCAAATGGTTTTCCAAAGTGGCTGTATCATCTTAGATTTCCTGCCAAGTAATGGATAAGGGCTCCAATTTTTCCACATCCTAACGTTCATTATTTTTTGTCTTTTTTAATTACAGCCATTCTAATGGGTGTGAAGTGCTATCTCATGGTGCTTAGGTTGCCTTTTCCCTAATGACTAATGATGTGCATCTATTAATGTGCAAATTGGGCGTTTGTATATTGTCTTTGGAGAAATATCTATTAAAATCCTTTGCCCGTTTTCAATTTAGTTGTTTGTCTTTTGGTTGTTGAGTTGGAAGAGTTTTATATCTTCAGAGTAATAGTTCCTTATCAGATATATGATTTGCAAATATTGTCTCACATTCTGAAGGCTGTCTTTTCACTTTCTTGATAGTGTCCTTTGGAGGATGAAAGTTTTTAATTTAATAAAGTGCAATTCTTCTACTATTTCTTTTGTTGCTTGTGCTATTGGTGTTTTAGCTAAGAAACTATCCCCTAATTCAAGGTAATGAAGATTTATTCTTAAATTTTCTTCTGAGATTTTTATAGTTTTAGCTCTTACATGTAAATCCTTGATTTATTTTAAGTTGATTTTTGTATAATGAATGAGATAGAAGTCCAAATTCATTATTTTTCATGAGGATCTAGTTCTTCTAGCACCATTTGTTATAAGGACTATTATTTCCCAGTTTAATTGTCTTGATATCTTTGTTAAAAATCAATTGACCATAAATGTACTGGTTTATTCTGGACATTCAATCCCACTCCATTTATCTATATGGGTATCTTCATTCCAGTACAAATTAGCTGTGATCATTATACCCTTGTAGTAACATGTGAAATCAAGAAACATTAGTCATCCAACTTTGTCCTTCTGTTAGGTTTGTTTTGACTATTTTGGTCTCTTGCATTTTCAAATGAATTTTAGGATCAGCTTGTCAGTATCTGCCAAAAAAGTCAGCTGGAATTTCTATAGAGTTAGCAGAGAATCTCTAGATCACTTTGGAGAGTATTGCCATCTTAATAACATTAATTCTCTGATCCATAGAAGTGAGATGTTTTTCCATTTAGTTAGGTCTTCAATTTCTTTCAGTGATGTTCCATGGTTTCACATGTACAAGTCTTACATTTTCTTGTTAAATTCATTTTTAAGTTTTTTAATCTTTTTGATGTTATTCTAAGTGGTTTGTATTGTTAATTTCACATTTGGGTTGATCACTGCTAGTGTATAGGAATATAATTAATGTGTGTATTGATTTTGTACCCTGCAGACTTGCTGACCTTTTTTATTTTCTTTAATAGTTTTATTGCGGGTTGTTTTGTATTTTCTATATATAAGATAATTGTCATCTGCAAATAGAGATTGTTTTACCTCTTACTTTCAAATTTGGATGTCTTGTCTTTATTTTTTGTGCCTAATTGCTGTTGCTAGAACTTCCAGTACAATGTTGAACAGAAACAGCAAAAGCAGACATCCTTTTCTTCTTCTTGATCTTAGAAGGAAAATTTTCAATCTTTCACTATTGTGTCTGCTGTTAGCTATGCTTTTTTTTCTCATAGATGCTCTTTATTACATTGAGAAATTTCCCTTTCCAAACTCTATTTTTGAATTTTAGAGTATTCATCTTAAAAGATAACTGTATTTTGTCAACTGTTTTTGCTGCATCTATTGAGATGATCTTGTGGTTTGTCTTTTATGCTATTAATATGCTGAATTATTTTGATTTTCATATGCTGAACCAGCCTTGTATTCCTGGAATAAATCTCACTTGGCTTAAATTGGATAACTGTGATGAAATGTACAAATTACTAGAAATGCACAAACTATTTACCTGGAGAATGTTTCATCTGCACTTGAGAACAATCTGTGTTCTGCTGTTATTGGGTGGAATGTCTGTTAGGTCTAATTGGCTTTTGCTGTTGGTCAAGCCTTCTATTTCCTTGTTAGTCTTCTGTCTAATTATTCTATCTATTATTTAAAGTATGGTATTGAAGTCTCCAACTAATATTGTTGAATTGTCTAATTCTCCTCTCAATTCTGTTAGTTTTGCTTCATGTATTTTAGGGCTTTCTTGTTGGGCGCATTTATGTTCAAAATTGTTATATAATCTTGTTGGATCAACCCTTTTATCAATATAAAATGTCCTTTTTCTCACTTCTGTAATAATTTTTTGTTTTAAATTCTATTTTGTCTGATATTAATATAACCACTACCATTCTTCTTTCACTATGGTTTGCATCACTATCTTAGTGTATTCGGGCTGCTATAACAAAATACCATATACTGGGTGTCATATAAACAGCAGAAACTTATTGCTTACAGTTCTGGAGGCTGGAAATCCAAGATCAGGCTGCCAGCACGGTCAGGTTCTGGTAAGGTCCCTCTTCCAGGTTGTAGACTGTTGACTTCACATTGTACCTTCACATGACAGAAGGGGTAAGGGATCTCTCTGGGACCTCTTCTATAATGGTACTGTTCCCATTCATGAAGGCTCCACCTTCATGACCTAATCAACTCCAAAAGGCTACTTCCTAATACCATCACCTTGGGGGTTAGGCTTACAATATATAAATTTGGGGAGGAAATAAACATTGACACCATAGCAGTCATATATCTTTCCATCCTTTTTTTTTCCAAACTCTTTGTATCTTTGAATCTCAAGTTTGTCACTTGTAGACAGCACATATTTGGATCATGTGTTTTATCCAATCTGCTGATCTCTGCCTTTTCTTTGGAGTATTTAATCCATTTACTTTTAATGTAATTACTGATAATTTAGGATTTTAATTTGACATTTTGCTATTTTTATATGTCTGATTTATTTTTTGTTCACCTATTCCTCCATTACTGCTCTGTTTTTTGTTTAATAGATAGTTTCTAGGCTACCATTTAGAACACTTTCTCCTTCCTTTACTATGCACTTGTTATATTCTCTGTGGTTGTTCTGAGGATTGCAATTAACTTCTTAGTTTATAACTACCTAGTTCAAATTAATACCAAATTGGTTTAAATATTATACAAAAATTTAATTCCCATGTAGGTCCATTCTCCCTATTTTTATGTTATTGTCACAAATTACATTTTTATACATTGTGTGCCCATCAACATAGATTAGTAATTACTAGTTTTTGCAGGTGTCTTTTAAATCATTTAGGAAAAAAGAATAGTAAAAAAACCACACAAAAACACATTTAAACTGACATATTTACCCATGTAGTTACCTCTACCAGTGTTTTTGTTCTTTGTGTGGATTTGAGATACTATTTTATGTCCTTTTATTTCAACCTAAGGACTCCCTTTAGCATTTACTGTAGGACAGGTTTAATAGTGACAAAGTTTCTCAATTTTTGCTTATCTGAGAATGTCTTAATTCTTCCTTCAGTTTTGAAGGATAGTTTTGCCAAATATAGAATTTTTGGTTCACAGTTTTTTGGTTTTTGTTTTCTTTCAGCTCTTTAAATATGTCATCCCACTGCTTTTTGGCATTCATGATTTCTGATGACAAATCAGCTGTTAATCATATAAAGAATTATTTGTATATAACAAGTTGCTTCTCTCTTGCTGCTTTCAAGACACGCTTTATTTTTTGACAATTTGATTATAATGTGTGCTTATGAGGATTGCTTTCAGTTTATCCTACTTGAACTTTGTTGAGCTACTCAGATGTGTAGATTCATGGTTTTTCATCGAATTTATGTAGTTTCAGTCATCATTTCTCCTAATATTCTTTTGGCTCCTTTCTCTCCTCTCTTTCTGAGACCACTAGTATGTGTATATTGGTATCCCACAGGCTTTATTCCTTTTTTCTTCATTATTTTTACTTTTTGCCTCACATTGGATAATCTCGATTGACATGTTTTCCAGTTCATTGATTCTTTTTTCAGTCTGCTCAAATTTGTTATTGAGCTCATGTAGCAAAATTTTCATTTATTTAACTTTTCAATTCCAGGATTTCCATTTGGTTCATTTTTAGAATTTATATTTCTTTATTAATATTCTCTATTTAGTGAGGCATTGTTCTCATACTTTCTTTTACTTCTTTAGTGATAGCTTCATTTAGCTCTTTGAATATATTTTAAATGACATTTAAAGTCTTTGTCTAGTAAGTACAATGCTTGGATTCATCAGGGACAATTTCCACTGACTTCTTTTTTTACCCCCTTTAGATAAGCCATACTTACTTGTTTCTCTATATGTCTCATTTATTCTTGAAAACCAGACATTTTAAATAATATCATGTAGCAACTCTGGAAATTTTATTTCCTCCCTCCCAGGATTTATTATTGTTGCTCTTTGTTGTTGCTGCTGCTAGTTTTTTGTTTTGGGGCTATTCTGAATTAATCCTGTAAAATTCTCTATTCTTTGTTTTGTTTGACCACTGATATTTCTTCTGATTTAGTTTAGTGGTCAGCTAATGATTAGATACAGGTTTGCTTAAATTTATGTAACCAATAAGTCTCCCAGTCTTTACTGAGGAGTTCTGTATGTTGGTGCATGTCTTCAGGACTCAGCCAGGAAGTTGAAAACTCTACTTAGTTTTCACTTAATGCTTGTGCAAAGCCTCAAGGTAAGCACATTTGTGTGGCCTTCTAGATTCACAAAAATAATGTTGGAGCTTTTCCAAGCCCTCTGTGGGCTTCTCATATCTCAGATTTCCACGTTACTTTATTTTTTGTTAGCTTATTGTCTCCTCCAATTATTATCCATTGCCTGAGACACCTGTGATAAAAAAATTGTGGCTGACGTTTTTCACTTAACTGCCCCATGGAAAAGTCTCTTTGCACTGAGCGTATTCGTACTCAAGCCAAATAAAGACAAACCTTGTTAGTGGGCTCTTCCAGGGAAATACAAGACTGGTCAAATCATGAAAACTCCCTCAGAATGGGACTTTTGCTGGAGCTCCAACCATATTTTGCCTCCTCCAGTGGCTGCCACACTGTTGGTTTTCACTGTAACTGCAGGTAGTAGAGTTTCAAGGCTACTGTGGAGATGGGGAGAGGAGATGAGAGTGGGTTAAGTTAAAATGCCACCAAATTCACTGTTATTGCCAAGATTCAGTCTTTTCTTTTTAAAATACTCCCTGGATTGTTGAAAATTTTGGGTTAATTTCAATAGTTCTGAAAATGTTAATTTTAACAATTTTTGTCTTTGATTTCATTGCTTCTATGGAGGAGAGGAATTTTGGAGGTTCTTACACCACCATTCCTCCTGAAATCACTGAATTAAAATTTATTTTACAGTACTTGACTGATAGTCTCAACATCTGGGTCATCTTTTGTGTCTCGTTCTCTTGATTTCTTTATCTCTTGATGATGGGTATTTTTTCTTCCTTTTTTCTGTGTATCATAATCTTTAACTGACTACTTGACAAAAAGTATGTAAGAATAGTAAAGATCAAAGTATATAGCATTTGCACCCAGAAATGGGCCCACTTCTTCTGTTAGGTCATTGATTTTGTAGTTTGAGACAATCTAATCAGTAGTTAATCAGGATTTGACTTTTGTGGTTGCTTCCATTACCTTCAGTCAACAGTGGGCTGTCATAACTTTGCACTTAGTGTATATGTGGCTCCAGAAGATTTTTCTCATTGTTCCTGCTCCATCCCCAGTTTTCATTACTCCTTGCATGCCTAAGCTATGAGGGGAGTCCTTTTCCATAGTCATGCTCCTCTCCAGGTAGCAGACTTTGGTTGCTTGTTACTTAGAACTCTCTTCATGGTGGACTCAGTAGGGGTGCCTCATTCTTCTGATCCAGTCTAAATCTTGGGCAGGACCTGTGTTCCTGAACTTCAGGGTGAGGCTTTTTCAGAATCTCAGCTCCTTTCCCCATGAGAGTCTATTATTCTTTGTATCTGTGATAGATATTGAATAGGAAATAATCTTTTGACTCCCTCCATGGTGACAGACATCTGTTTTGTATTGGTGCAGTATTCTGAACTTGAAATATTTTCCTACCTTTCCTCCAGGATCAGAATGGCTTTTGCTTCAACCTTCCTCCCTAAGGTAGTGGATCTTTGCCTGGTTCCTGAGGGTGGGAAGAATAGATTCCAATCAGTCTTCTAGAAGTCAATAGGTTTTGCTTCTACACCTCCCCTAGCAGTCTAAGGCTTATGCTTTGTATGAAAGGAGAGTTCAAGAAAACAAATGTTTTAGTCCCATAACCAGTGACTGTCAACCACCTTCTGCACCTTTTTCTCTTTCTCTCCTCTTGCCCAGTCCCCAAACCTTCTCGTGATTACTTCATGAATGCCTATGGGGAAGAGTATGTGAGAGATTTTAAACTTTTATTGTATCTCAGGACTCCTATTTATTTTAAACTGATACACAAACTCACATTAGGCCCTTAGGAGTTGAACTTTTAAATTATTAATTCTTTTCCACTTCTGTGATACTTACCTCTTCCTCTTTTGCTTTATCAAAGGTGGAGTAATTCATGTTTCCATCTCTCCTTGTTGGGGCTTCTCAACATTTGGCATTCAGCTCCCTTGGTTGACTTGCAACTTCAGCTCTTTGATAGGTTCAAAAAATTGTAATTTGGAAGTTCTGGTTCAAGATGGCTATGTAGGAGGATCCTGAAATTACCTTGTCACAGATACACTGAATCGACAGTTACAAAAACAACAATTTCTTTTGAAAAAACCCCAAAATTAGCTGAGTTACTCCTACAAATAAGGCAACTGAGAAAAAAGCCACATTGAAGTGGATACGAGAGACTGAGACAAAATCTCAACTTAAGCCCCACCCACAGAGTGGCAACCCACAAGTGGGAAGGAAATCAAAACTCTGAGCTTCTTCCTCAAGAGTAAAGGGCTTAAACTCCATACCTGGTTCCCCAACTTTTAAGACCTACACCTAAGAGATGAACCTCCAAAACGTCTACCTTTGAAAACCAACAGGGCTTGCATCCAGAAGATCCAGAAGGCTATAGTGAACTGAGAAATAGTACTTAAAGGGCCTGTGCATGTGGACCCATCCACTGCAGGGCCCAGCACAGGGGCAGCCAACTGAAAAACCCCAAGGCTCTCTGAAATAGGTGCATTTGCTTATCTTAAAGCATTGGCCTGAGGGGCAGGAATCTAATTTTAACATGCATCTAGGGGTCTACTAAAATACTCTGCAAAGACAGAGGATAGTGGGTGCCAACTTTGTGCTCTTCCTCTTCCTCACTCCAGGCCATCAGTATCCCCCAGAAAAGAGATTTTTCAGGGGCCAGGCACCCCAATTTTTACAGCTTCCAACCATGGGATACCTCTAGATTGGCTGGTTCTGGGGCAAGCATAAGTGAGGTTTAAGTTTGCAGGTCCCAAAGGACTGTAACAAAAAGAGAGAGTTCTTAAATGGTTGTCACCCCCAGGACACAACAGAGAAGCAAGAGACTAAGGTGCTCAGTCTCTCTGTGAAAGAGTCCTATTAGCTTATCTTCATATTTGTGGCTGAGGGGCAGGGTTCTAACTAACATACATCTAAAGTTTCACTGTGAACCTCTCCAGATACCTTGAAGGGTGGGCCCTGTCTTTACTCTCTCTCTGTTGCACTCCAGAGCAAAGGTATTTCCCAGAGTGGAGTTTATACACACACTTGATGTCCCAGTTTTTACATTTTGTGTCCTGGTTTTGTGTTATTACCCAGGGGATGTCCCTTAATTTCATGACTCTGGTGGCTAGTGGGGCTTGACTTCTGGGTCCCATGGGACTGTGACAAATGGAGTAACAGTTCTTGGACTATTATCACTCCCAGGGCACAGCACAGACAGCAAACTGAAACATACCACCAGTCTTTGTGGGAAAAAGGCAGATTTACTTGACTTGGAATTTTGGACCAAAAGGAAGGCTTCCGGCTTAGCACACATCTAGAGGCCTACTGAAGTGCTCTCTGTGTGCAGAGGCCAGTGGGAACCTTCTTTGCACTCGCTTTCTGCCTTACACCAGGTCACCAGTAGCTGTGAACGAGGTCTATTAGCTCATATTCATAGCTATTGCCTGATGGGCAGGCTTCTAATTAAACACACATCTGGAGCCAAATACATTCTTCTTCAGAGGTCGGTGCTATATTTATGCTTTCCCTCTGCCCCACCCCAGGTTATCGATATCTCCAAGAAAGGAGCTTGCTTATTTGTCTTGTACCCTGTCCTCTCTGTTTTTGTGTCTGTCACCCAAAGGACACATCACTTGATAGCCTGGCTCTGATTGCAAATGGGGCTTGTGTTAATGGGTTCAGTAGGATAGTGACAAACAAGGAAAGAGATCTTAACTGGCTATCATCCCAGGGCTCAGCACAGAGGTAGCAGGCAGAAATATCCATTCCTCAGTCTGCTGAAAGAGGTATATTTGCATACTTTAAAGGCTGCTGCCTGAGGGTTTGGCTACCAACCAGCTTGAATATAGGTCTTGACTGTGATCCTTCCCTTTGGGACACTGACAAGTCTTGGCACACCATCAACTACTGGGAGCCACTAAAATTTAAATAAAGCAGCTTGGACAATCACAAAGGTTTAAGAGACAAACAAGAGCTAGGGCAAGGCTGAAAACTAAGATTCACCTCTTACATGAGGCCATTCCTTCAAGAGTGGGAGAGGTGGATACTTTATCTAATGCATAGACAGCAACACAGAGACTCAAGGAAAATGAAGAAACAAAGCAATGTTCTAAACAAAAGAACAAGATAAAACATCAGAAAAATAACTTAACGAAATGAAAATTAGTGATACACCTGATAAAGAGCTCAAAATAATGATCACATGATGCTCATTGAGTTTGAGAGAAGAATAAATGAACAAATTGAGAATTTCACCAAAGAGAAAATATAAGAAAGTACCTTATAGAAGTCATACAACTGATTAATACAATAACTGAATTTAAAAATGCAATAGAGAGATTCAACAGCAGACTTGATGAAGCAGAAGAAAGGATCAGTGAACTAAAAAACAAGGCAGTGGAACTCACCCACTAACAGCATCAAAAACAGAATAAAAAACTCTGAAGATAGCTGAAGGGAAGTGTGGCACAACATTAAGTGGACCACCATTCACATTATGAGAGTCCCAGAGGAGAAGAGAGACAGAAAGGGGCAATAAACTTACTTGAAGAAATAATTGCTGAAAAATTCCCTATCCTGGGGCACAAAATAGATATTCACACCCAGGAAGCTCAGAGACTTCCAAATAGAATGAACTCAAAGAGACAGACTCCAAGACAAATAGCAATTAAAGTGTCAAAAGCTAAAGATAAGGATAGAATCTTAAAAGCATCAGGAGAAAACAAATATGTCACATACAAGAGAACCCTCCATAAGTCTATTAGCAGATTTTTCAGTAGGCACTTTTCAGGCCAGAAGGGAGTGGCACAACATATGCAAAGTACTGAAGAAAAATATTGTCCACCAAGAATACCCTACCTGGCAAAGTTGTCCTTCAGAATTGAAGGAGAGAGAAACAGTTTCCAGAGAAGCAAAGATAAAAGAGCATCATCACTAGATTAACCTCGCAAGAAATGTTAAAGGGACTTCTTTAAGCTGAAACAAAAGGTGCTAGTTAGTAACAGGAAAACAGGTGAAAGGATAAATCTCACTGGTAAAGGTAAATATATATTGAAATTCAGAAAAATCTAATGTTGAAAGGGGGTGGGTTAATCACTTACAAAGCTAGTATGAAAGTTAAGAACAGTAGCAAAGAGAACAATAATTTGTTAAGGGATGCACAAGACAAAAAGATGTAAATTGTGACATCAAAAACATAAAATTTGGGGGAAAGTAAAATATAGAGCTTTGCAATACATTGAAACTTAAGTTGTTATAAGCTTAAAATAGGTTGTTATAAATATAAGTTGTTTCACGTAAGCCTCAAAGGAAGCACAAAGCAAAAAACTATATTAGGTATAGAAAAGAAAAGAGAAAAGAATCTGAGCATACTACTACACAATGTTATCAAGTCACAAAGGAAGAAAGCAAGAGAAGAAGAAAGGAACAAAGGAATTACAAAATAGCCAGAAAACAATGAACAAAATGGCAATAAATACACACCTATCAATAATAATTTTAAATGTAAATGGACTAAATTCTCCAATAAAAAGATATAGAGCAGCCCAATGGATAAAAAAACAAGACCCATCTGTATGCTATCTACAAGAGGCTCATTTCAGATGTAAGGACACACATAGACTGAAAGTGAAAGGATGGAAAAAGATATTCCATACAAATGGAAACAAAAAGAAGGTTGGGTAACTATATCAGACAAAATAGACTTCAAGACAAAGAATGTAGTAAGAAACAGAGAAGGTCATTACATAATGATAAAAGGGTCTATTCAACTAAGGGATATATCGCTTATAAATATTTATGCACCCAATACAGGAGCACTTAAATAGATAAAGCAAATATTACTAGATTAAAAGAGAGAAACAGACAGCAATATGATAATAGTAGGGGACTGTAATAGCCTACTTTCATCAATGGCAAGATCATCCAGACAGAAAACCAGTAAGGAAATATTGGTCTTAAACAATACATGAGAACATACGGACTTAATAGATATATACAGAACATTCCATCCAAAAGCAATAGAATATACATTTTTCTCAAGTGTACATGGATTATTGTCTGGGATAGACCATATGGTAGGTCATGGAACAAATATTAATAAATTTAGGAATATTAAAATCATATCAAGCACCTTTGATGACCACAGTATTATGAAACTAGAAATCAGTTATAAGAAGAAAAGTGGAAAATTCACGAATATGTGGAGATTAAACAACACGTTACTGAATAGCCAATGGGTCAAAGAAGAAATCAAAAGAGAAATCAAAAAATATTTTGGGGGGCTGGCCTCATGGCCTAGTGGTTGAGTTTGGCATGCTCTGCTTCAGCAGCCTGGATTCAGTTCCCAGGCACAGACCTACACCACTCATCAGTGGCCAGGCTGTGGCAGCAACTCATATACAAAACAGAAGAAGATTGGCATAGATGTTAGCTCAGGGCAAATATTCCTCAGTAAAAAAAATCTTCAGACAAATGAAAGTAGAAATACAACACACTAAAATTTATGGGATACAGCAAAAGCACTTCTAACAGGGAAGTTCATAGCAATAAATGCCTATATCAAGAAACAAGAAAGATCTCAAATAAGCAATCGAACTTTACACCTTAAGGAACTTGAAAACTAAGAACAAAGGAAGCCCAAGTTTAGTAGAAGGAAGGAAATAACAAAGAGTGGAAACTGATGAAATAAGACTATAAGGGCAATAAAAAAGATCAATGAAACTAAGAGATGGTTTTTTGAAAACATAAACAAAATCAACCAAACTTTAGCTAAACTCACCATGAAAAAAAAGAAAGAGAATTTTAATAAGTAAAATCAGAAATAAAAGAGGAGATATTACAAGTGATACCACAGAAATACAAAGGATCATAAAAGACTACTATGAACAATTATACACAGATAAACTGGACAACCTAGAAAAAATGGATAAGTTCCTAGAAACACACAACCCACAAAGACTGAATCATGAAAAAGTAGAAAATCTATAACCAAATCTACCTAATGATGTAAAACAATGTTACCTCAATAAAGAAAGAAAAGAAAAGAAAATCCAAAGAGACAGAGTACTAACAAAGAGTTGAATCAGTAATTGAAAACCTCCCAACAAACGAAAGTCCAGGAACAGATGGCTTCACTGGTAAATTCTACCAAACATTTAAAGAATCATTAATACCAATCTTTGGCAAAGTCTCCCAAAAGATAGAAGACTAGGGACTGCTTTCAAATCCATTTTATGGGGGCAGGATTACCCTGATACCAAAACCAGACAAGGATGCCACAAGAAAAGAAAATTACAGGCCAATACTCCTAATGAACATAGACGCAAAAATCCTAAACAAAATATTAGCAAATCAAATTTAACAATACATTACAAGTGTCATACACCATGATCAAGTGAGATTTATTCCAAGGATGCAAGTATGGTTCAACATTCACAAATAAATCACTGTAATGTAACACACTAATAAAATGAAAGATAAAAATCATATGATCATCTCAATAGATGTAGAAAAAGCATTTGACAAAATTCAACATTCATTTATGATGAAAATTTTCAAGAAATTCAGTGTAGAGGGAATGTACCTTAATGTAATAAAGGTTATATATAACAAACCCACATCTAACGTCATACTCAATGGTGAAAAGCTGAAAGCTTTTCCTCTAAGCTCAGGAATAAGACAAGGACGCCCACACTCACCACTTTTATTCAACACTGTATTGGAAGTTCTAGCCAGAGTAATTAGGCAAGAAAAACAAATAAAAGGCATCCAAATAAGAAAATAAAATGTAAAACTGTCACTATTTGCAGATGACATGATATATATATAGAGAGAAAATCCTAAAGACTTCACCAAAAACTCCTAGAAGAAACAAACAAATTCAGTAAAGTTGCAGGATACAAAATCAATATTAAAAAATCGATTGTGTTTCCATACACTAATAATGAATAATCAGAAATAGAAATTAAAGAAAACAATCCCATTTACAATTGTATCAAAAAGAATAAAATACCCAGGAATAAACATATCCAAGAAGATGAAAGACCTGTGCACTGGAAATTATAAGACATTGATGAAAGAAATTGAAGAAAACACAAGTAAGTGGAAAGATATTCCATGCTCATGAATTGGAAGATTTAATATTGTTAAAATATCCATACAACTCAAAACAATGTGCATATTCATTTCAATCCCTATCAAATTTCCAATGGCATTTTTCACAGAAATAGAACAAATAATCCTAAAATTTGTATGGAACCACAAAAGACCCTGCATAGCCAAAGTAATCTTGAGAAAGAAGAACACAGCTGGGGGCCTCATGCTTCCTGATTTCAAGCTATATTACAAAGCTACACTAATCAAAACAGTATAATGTAGGCATCAAAAGACACAAAGGTCAATGGAACAGAATAGAGAGCTTAGGAATAAACCCACACATATGTATGGTCAATTAATTTATGATAAAGGAGCCAAGAATATACAATGGGAAAAGAATTAAAGACTTGATCATAAGACCTGAAACCATGAAATAATTCAAAGAAAACATAGGTGGTAATCTCCTTGACATAGCTCCTGGCAATAACTTTTTGGATTTGACATCAAAAGCAAAGGCAACAAAAACAAAAATAAGTAATTACACTTACATCAAACTAAAAAGCTTCTTCACAGCAAAGGAAAGTATCAAGGAAATGAAAAGGCTATATATCAAATGGGAAAAATATTTGCAAATCATATCTCTGATAAGAGGTTAATATCCAAAATACATAAATAATTTATACAACTCAATAGCAAAAAAGTATACAATTGAATTAAGAAATGGATAGAGGATCTGAATAGACATTTTTCCAAAGAATACATACAGATGGCCAACAGGTACATGAGAGGGTGCTCAACATCACTCATCATCAGGGAAACGCAAATCAAAACCACAATGAGAAGAGTTTGGAGAAAAGGGAACCCATATGCACTGTTGGTGGGAATGTAAATTGGTACAGCCACTATGGAAAATAATATGGAGATTTCTCAAAAATTTTAAAATAGAACTACCTCATGGTTCACCAATTCTGCTTTTGGATATTTTTCTGAAGGAAAAGAAAACACTAACTCAAAAAGATATCTGCACCTCCATGTCCATTGCAGCATTAATTACAATAGCCAAGACATGGAAGCAATCTACATGTCCATCAATGAATGAATGAATAAAGAAAATGTGGTATGTGTATAGACACACACACACACACACACACACATACACAGTGGGTTATTATTCAGCCATTAAAAAGAACAAAATCTTGCCATTTGCAACAACGTGGATAGACATTGTGGGCAATACGCTAACTGAAACAAGTTAGACAGAAAAAGATAAATACCATGACCTCACATATGTGTGGAATCTAAAAAGAAAACAAAATCAAAACTGAGCTCATGGATATAGAGAACATATTGGCAGCTGCCTGAAGCAGGGGCTAGTGAATGGGTGAAGGGGTCAAATGTGCAAATTTCTAGTTATAAAATGAGTAAGTCATGGTGATGTTATGTACAGCATGGTGACTATGGTTGATAGTACTGTATTGCATATTTGGAGACTGGATCTTGATAGTTCTCATCATAAGAAAAGAAAATTTTAACTATGTATGTTGATGGATGTTAACCAGACTTACTGTGGTGATCATTTTGCAATACCTACAAATATCGAATCATTACACTGTACACCTGAAACTAGTATAATATGTTATGTTAATTATACCTCAATAAAAAAGAAAATAATTTATAAAAAGAAAGTGTGTTATATATGTACAATGGAATATTATTCAACCATAATAAAACTGGAAACTTTGCCATTTGCAAAATCATGGATGGACCTTGAGGGCATTATGCTAAGCGAAATAAGTCAGAAAAAGAAGTATCATATGATCTCACTTACATGTTGAATATTAAAAAAGAAACACACTCATGAGTACAGAGAACAGATTGGTGGTTGCTGGAGATGGGGTGGTGGTGAGTGGGTAAAATGGGTGAAGGGGGTCAAAAGGTGCAAACTTCCAGTTATAAAATAAATGTCATGGCATATAATGTACAGTATGATGCCTATAGTTATTAATACTGTATTGAATTTGAAAGTTGCTAAGAGATTTGATCTTCAAAATTCTCATCATAAGAAAAGAAAATTTGTAACTGTGTGGTGTTGAACGTTAACTCGACATTGCAGTGATAATTTCACAATATATACAAATATCTAATTATTATATTGCACACTGAAGCTGATATAATTTTATATGTCAATTACATCTCAATAAAATAATTGTGACTGGTAGATTATCCAGATTTTTCTAATTGTTTGAATGAGAGTGATGTTCTCCTGCAGCTTTCTACATCCTAAGTAGAAGCAGTCAAAATTAGATAAATTAGGGGCCGGTCCCATGGCCAAGTAGTTAAGCTCGCTTGCTCTGCTTAGGTGGCCCACGGTTTCGCCGATTCAAATCCTGGGTGCAGACATGGCACCGCTCATCGAGCCATGCTGTGGCAGCATCCCACATGCCACAACTGGAAGGATCCACAGCTAAAAATACACAACTATGTACCGAGGGGCTTTGAGGAGAAAAAGGAAAAATAAAATCTTAAAAAAATTAAATAAATCAAATTTATGAAAACCAAATATTACCCTCCTTTTTTCTCATTTTGTTGCAGGTCAGCATTGAGGAACCATGGAGATATTGCATGTAAAGTGTTTAGCTTATTGCATGATATATAGTAGTTTCTTGATTAGTGATATTATTGTTTTTATTATCATTATCATCTTCCTCATTATTGTCTTTATTATTGCCCAGTCAAACAAGATGTGACCAATAGCTAAAGACTTGTCTCTCCAACATGGTAGAGGGCAGAATCTTTTCTCCTTTATTTCTCATTCATTCATCACATAGCCTAAACTCCATGAATTTGCTAGAAAAGCCATGTCAGTATAATTGACAATGCCAATGTTTGTCGGCCTTTCCCCTGATCAAAATCAGTTATTGAAAGAAAAGAGGGGCACTATTTGGTTCTTAAAGGTGTAATATAAAGTAGGTTGTGAGTACCGGATATATATTAGGGGTTACCAATCACCCAGTTTGGTTTCAGTGTAAAGCTATTCTCAAAATTAATTAACTAGAAA